AAATGTTTTCTAAATAATTGAGTACATAATATACAGGGTGTTTTCAAAACAAGAGGCGAAGATTAAAGGGGTGGTTTTTAGGACCAGTTTATGAAAATTTGATCTTTGAACGATGTACTATTAAATTCCTTGAATACAATTTTATTTTCTATTTTTCCTTATTGCTTGAGAAGTATTTCAGATTTTGGCATAAAACTCGGTGTAGAGAGGTTTGCTAGTATGAGAAACAAGAATCCGTTATTTTTTATGACCAAACTTCTAGTGGGCGCCACTTACAAAATAAGATTTTTCGGTCAGTTGTTGTATACAGGGAAGCACAAAAAAATGATAAGTTATTTACCGATATAGTGCTGTAAGTGGTGCCCTCTAGAAGTTTGGCTATAAAAAAGAACGAATTCTTGTTTCTTATACTAGAAAACCTCCCTATACCGAGTTTTATGCCAAAACCTGAAACACTTCTCAAGCAATAAGGAAAAATATAAAATAAAGTTATAACTTTGACTCACTGTATCTCGCATACTAAACTTTTGGACTGAGGTATGTTTATGTCAATTCACATATTTTGGTCTGTAGTATCTCCAGTTTCGAGATTTCCTAACCTTTTGCAGGTCAAGCAGGATTTTAGAGAAATACATTTTTAGCTGCCTCTAACTGCAATGCTAGATTACTGAAACCTTCCAAACAACTAGATCACCTTTTATCGATTTATATCTATTAGCTATTTCGGTATAGTTTAGTTTTATAGGTTTGTAAATTTTCTTGTTGACAGAAGATCAGCAAATAAACATCAAGAATATTTGCTGGTATCTTATCTGATTCCATATAAACTTTCTCTTGTTAGACAGTAAGAACTGTGTATTTAGGACAAATCACAAATGGTAAATAAAAATTAACAATATAATGATTTAATTAGCATGCTTGCTGGCATACATTGGGAGATCCAGTAAGTAGAAGTTGTAATAATAGATGGAAGAAAGTGAGTGTCATTTAAGCGATAAAGCATAACAATAAGTAAAAATAAATAAAATTACCTAATACAACATCGCGACATTGATAACACTTAAAGCTGGACTGTTTGTTCAACACATATACCTTTCCATATGGATGTCTATCCTCTATATCAATATTTAAGGGGAGATTTTTGGGTCCATTCTAAAAAGAAAACTTTTGAGATACAGGGTGGTAAAGTTTTCAATATAGAAAGTTATTGGCACGCCACTAGCTTTTCTTAAAATAAAAATATAGAATAAGAATAGAATTTGTTTAGTCCGATGCACGGTCTTCACCTAAAAAAATAAGTGCTATTTCTCTGTATGGTGATATTGTCACATCAACGATATTGTTATGATCATCCAGAGAGACGGCCTTTATTTTTTCTAACGACAACCGTGCATCGGATTGGAATTTATTTAGACATGATCGAGGATTTCAAGAATAATTTTTATTTTCAGAGAAAACAGCGGCATAGCAAAATATTCATTAAAAATGACAGTGGATGAAAAAATGCCTCTCGATACAAAGTACATGCATATGAAATTTCATTAAAAGTGAAAAATGGTGTGTGAAATAGTAAAACGTAATAGCAGATAATTTCACTGCTTAGATCCTTTATTGCAGACAAATGTTACTCATAAGAAGCGTCATAATAAGAGATGAATCTGGTAGATGTTTAAGAGATAAGCAGGGATCATTTGAAAGATTATCTTTATTTTATGTTATAGTCCAGTCAGCACTAGAATTCTAAAATTTTCTATTCGACGAAGTTCATCAGAACACGTCAAAAACTCAGGGACAAACGTTTTCAATATCATCTACCTTAAAACGCATTTTATTGTAGTTAAGTGTACCATTCAGAAAGTTCCTGATGCAATTTGGCAGATTTTGTCCATTTTTGTTAATTCCTATCGAAAGAAAAATATATCACTTTTGAACAGTCAATGAATACCCTCTCCGACGATGCACATGACAAGGCCCTGTTGCCTATTAAAAAGCTCTGGGGTTGGAACCTTCACTTTGGAGGATTTATTTCGTTCGCCCATATGTCCAACATCATGTAATGCGACCAATGAATGAGAACCCTCTAAATGCAACCACATATTCTTAAAAGGCGTCTGGTAACAATGATAACGTGAAATGTTTCCGCAGAGTTACCATGGAGAGGATTTCTATATCAGTTAAGGAGGAAGCACATACGGGGTGCTATTCATTTGCTGCGACAGCAATGCACATTGCCATTGTTACCAGTCGTTTTTTGGTTAAAATCTGCAGTTAAAATGTCAAAATTATGTCACAATTACGACAGTCTTACAATTTTTAAATAATTAATCAAGAAACTTTGGCACAAGACATTGGTATCCCGTATTCCCCTATAGCTTAAAAATTCTTAAATTTGTCGCCTTTAAAGTCGACGGCATTTATTCCGAAAGGGGAATCAATAATTATGAACTATGTAGAAGATTTGAAATACTTAGCTTAGGGCTTAGATGACACCTTACGGCCTTATTTAAATCGCTGCATGGATATGTTGAGTGTTCTGATGTTCTGGGACAGTTTCTCTTGCTGTGCCTCCATATTCATCTCAGCGTAATGCGACATTTACGCTACCTAGAGCTAAGACTAATGTGATTTAAGCCTCCAGTCTATGTTATGTGTGATAAATTAAACTGTATCTCCAGTCGTTATGATATATTCTTCTGTTCACTGAATGTGTTTATCAGAACTGCAAAGAGGTTATTGAACTAATTTTGAATTCTTGTTTTTGGGTTAATTATCAGCTATTACATTATGTTGTTTTATCAACATATAGTAGCACACAAGGGCATGGAATTTGATTGTTATGTTATCGTGTAAATAGGAAACCATTGGATAATAAAGCCATTATTATTATCCTTATTATTATTATTATAACCACACACAATCCGATACCATTTTTATCCAAATCTCCCATCGCGTAGGGTCCAGTATCAATGAATGAGCTCTCAGGGTTCTCGTTCTAACTGAATGTCAACGGTTACAAATGATTTCGATGTCGCCTTCAGTTATAATCAGGCCCCGGTGTAAAAAATACAAGGGAGCTTGACCACACGGTCAATCAAATTCCGAGTACCCGCTCCGTTCCTGAAATGACCGTAAAAAAACTCGGCCTTCTACTGCACTAGCCGTAGAAACAAAAATGGCGTTACCGTTGAAAGATCTATCAGAGGAAGAACTAGTATATTTACTGTTACAAGAACAGCTGTACACCTGCAGTAAGGTCATTATCGATGGTGAGGAAACTCTTCGAATTCCAAATTCAGAGACTAATTAGGTAACTTCAGATAATCTGTAATAATTTAAAGATACTACCAGGGTATTATCGAAATGTATGTGTCGTGCTTTTTACATGGACATAGACGCAATCGGATGACATCTTATTATAAAGTATCCAATCGGATGACATCTTTATTTATAAAGTATATCCATGCTTTTGAAAAGCAAAATATTTCCTTCAAATTTAAATATTCAGAGACAAGCAAGTTGTTTGATTAATTTTGATATGGTGGGCTGGCAGTTTGGTATTGGAGAGGCTACCGAAGCCATACATTATGATCTTCAAAGAAACCGATAACTTCTCAGTTCGCTGTTATAGTAGATAATGGGGAAAATTCTAAGTTCTATTGTAAACATACTTACGTATAACAATGAACAGTATCATCTGCAATTGTAAATATAAAATATATAGAGATGACTAAATTAACTTACAATAGCCAGGTATTTTGACAGAATGAATTCGCCAATATAAACATTACAAAGCAACTATTGCTCGAAATTGTCCAAAATTGAAGGGCAGGATTAGCCGTATAGCATGTTTGACACGTGCAAATGATGCCTGCATATTTAAATTTTTAAAATGGCACCTCGCAAACCCAACAAAGTGGTAACTATGGTTACCAAATGTGTGCAAAATTGCAGCTCAATTGGTTAAGGTTAACTAGTTCAAAATCTAGTTCCAAGATTTGTCCTACACATTCATACCAACATACTAACAAACAAGTCAAGCTAAATAAAGGCTTGTAAGAAGACCGTCGTTGTAGCCGAAACGAAAGTAACTCCTAATCTATGGATGCAACTAAATTCTTTTCTAAACTCAGTACTTAAATGAAGAAAATTGTTAGCAATACTTCAAACAGCAACAAAGCAATTAGATGAAGAGTTCTCAGGACCAATTGTCAATGAAAGTCCAGAACTACCTATATTATTGAAATGTCAACAACACATCGCTTCACAATTTTTGCTCCTGCAAAAAATGGCGTTAAGATCGCACAGCTTTTTTTCAACTGCCTGATTGTAGCAAATATTCTTATTACATTTCATACCATTATTTCATATTGTGTGTAGGGATGACTAAAAAACAATGTTATCATTTTCTTATCAAAAACGTTTTTTTGTGAATACTTTCTTCAGTCGTACTTTGTTAACAAGTAATAGTAAAGCTCTGAAATTGTGTGAACTTTTATAGTAGAATTGCGCGAATAACTACTCTTTCCTAAAACATCTTTGCCTTTCTTCAAAATCGTTTATCAGCAAATTGACTTTCCAAGAAAAGGAACGAGCAAAAGAAAAGAGTGAAGAGTAATTTGTAAAGAAGTTCCGATTGAAGAAAAATCCAGAAACCATGCTCAACAAATGCACTTTCTCACACAAAAGCACGGTAGTATTGTTTCTCGGTCATCTGTGTATACACGAATCAATCAGACAAAAAGTATTGCGTATACTTCGCTCATTAAACACTAGTATTAATCTGTTCTAAGGAAATAAAATGTTCCAAGACTGATTATAATGCGGTCGGCTACGCCAAGTTTTAGTTTTTTTTTTGTCGGAATGAAAAGTGTAACTTATAAAATAATATTGATATTTTTTCATACGCGTCTGTTTAGAGGTACGACAATATTAAGAGATCCACATTGTAAAGTGTAGTATCTTTCACAACAGTAACCACTCCAGCTCCACAAGCTTCTTACCTGAGGCAAAGTCATCTCCGATAGTACCAACATTTCAAGCAGTTCGCACACAAAACGTCACAGTACCGGACTCCCGGAGTCAAATCGCGCTTTGAGCTTTCCAGCACCGGAAGCGCTGCACCTGATGTAGTACTGCTCGCGCGAGCCAAGGAGTGCAACAACCGTATCGCAGTATTTGAATGGTGGTACTGCAAGAATAAATCGGAACGAGTACGGCGGAAGCTGAGTCGTAGCTGTGTGTATGTGTGGATGCAACGGTACCGCTATCAGATAAAATGAGGCTGCCGCGTTCTTTTGCCGGAAAAAGGGGTCTCGGCTGTCACACGGAGCGCGGTAGATAGTACTCGCGCGGACCAGCGCATCGCCAGTACCGCGGACGCTGCGCTCAAAGCTACAAGAGTACACAGTAGAAGCAGTGGATGAATGGAAAATGGATTCGGAGTAATGAAATTGATACTTGGATACCATATTTTGTCTGCAGGGCGCCATTTTGGAAATTTTTTAAACGGAACGGTGGGTCGTGTGATACTTCATTTTGACTTTTGTGGGTACTTTATAACCTTGCAGGTACTAAAAAACTACTATGAAATGGCATATTGCCAGAGTTGATGGTTTTCGAGGCTCATGTCATTGCTCTTGATATCACGAAAGCGTTCGACCAGCTGTGGCATGCTACCCTTCTATACAAACTCCCACCCTATGGCCTCTCGGGAAAGCTTTTCAGATGGTTGGCTGACTTCGTCTCTGGCCGCAAGATATCCATCGTAATTGACGGGTTCTTCTCTTCATCCCAAAACGTCAACTCGGGTGTTTCTCAGGGATCGGTATTGGCTCCGACATTTTTTCCCTTACGACCTCCTTTCCTCTACAATGAATCCAATTCACATATTTGCTGATGATAGCACTCTACATGCAGGAACTTAGAGTTACAGTACCGGTGAACTGGAGAAGAGAAGACTAGCAGTGACTCCCTCTCTGACGAGAAACCTGGGTTATCACTACAAGAGGAAGCAACAATTTTGTATAGTATAATTCTAGCAAAACACAGTATTGTACCTTGACGAACAGGAAGCGTCCTAGCGCTCATCCGGTTTCTATGGATGGCCAAGTTCTACCAATAAGCCGTTCATTTCGGCTGATCGGAGTCCGGATCACCAAGGACTTGATCTGGCACGAACACCTCGTCTATAGCGGCAGCTGCTGGGAAAAAGCTAAGCTATTTGTTTAGAGTTAAGAAATATGTTTCTCCTCTTGACCTGCTCACCCTATACATTATCAATGTTCGATGCTGTCCTACTGATCGATGACTCTTCTCTAATGGACAGTCTCGGAACCCTTTCACACCGACGGGCTGTCGGCGTTCTGGCTCTCTTCTACCGCTACGCCAATAAAGCTCTCCTTCATGATGCCGCCGCATGATGTGCCTGCCAAACAGACCAGCCTGACTTCGACCTCCCATACTTCGAACTCTGTCCTAGGCTATGTGGAAGAATCTACATGAAGAGACTTTTCTCAGACATTCCGAAATCGGATTAACAAAGTTTATTTAGGCTCCTTATAGCAACCGCGGTACCCTAGCATTTAGGCTTCTGCCTGCGCGGTTGCTTCGGTGTAAAAAAGCCCAGGTCTTGATGATATACGATCAGAGATGTTGAAGAAAATTTCATCCGAAATTAGTAAGCCCTTGACGTACATAGCGAACTTGATAATTGAATCGGGAGAATTTCCAGATGATTATAAAGTAGGAGTAGTAAAACCAGCTTTGTAAAAATTATTGAGAAAGTTATAAAAACACGACTTTTAAGTTTTTTTGATAAACATAATCTGATTAATGAAAAACAATTTGGATTCCAGAAAAACAAGTCTACCCAATACGCAATTTCTTTTTTGACATCAAAATTATACAAATTACTGGACCAAAGTGAATGTACCCTGTGTGTGTTTTTAGACCTAGCAAACGCATTCGACACAGTAGACAACTTGCTACTATTAGAAATCTTACACAATAGAACACAGTGCGTTTAAATAAATAATTCCTTAAGCACAAATTTGTTTGTTGATAACGTATGGTGTCCCACAAGGGACAGTGTTAGGCCCCTTATTATTTACATTTTACATTAATAGCCTGCTGAGCTTAAAATCTGAAGGGACAATCATATTTTTTGCAGACGTTACTATCATTTATTCGGATAACAACTTGTGGGAAGATCTAAAAGTGAAGGTTGAAAGAGACTTAACAATAATTGCAGACTGGTTCAGACATAAATGTCTAACCATTAACTTTCAAAAGTCTATGTTCATGCCATTCACAAATCACAGAAACAAATTATCATACTTTGTATCTATACAGATTAACTGTGTTAATATAAATACTCAAATGAATTTAAGAAACAAAAAAGAATATTTAGGTATATATTTAGACTCGCATTTAAAGTGGAATATACATATTGATCATGTAATAACCAATTTGAGGCCATTATTGTTTAAATTCAAGTATCTAAACAAATATTTCAATAAAAAAAAATGAAAATTTGATATCATGCTATGATCGAAAGTCGTATAAGTTACGCAATATTAGGTTGGAATGGAGCACTTAATAACCAAATTAATAAATTAGAAATTGTCCAAAAACGATTTTTAAAAATAATCTTTAACAAACCACTCTTATACCCATCTGAGCTGTTGTATTCTGAATCAAAACTATTAGACCCTAGGCAACCATTTTTTTATAAAATTATAAATTATCAATTTCACCATAGAAATAATCTTATTCCGTTAGATCACTTATATCAAACTAGAAACAAAATCAACAACATTAAGCAAACACCTTTCACCTCAAAAGGTATAGGTCATACTTACCTTTCCAGTAGATTATATAACGTTTTACCAAATTATATAAGAAATATTTCAAATAAAGCAAAATTCAAAATTGAAACCACAAAATTTATAATTGAAAGAAATCGACATCAAATTGCAAACATGATACGTATGAAAGAAATTTAAAATGAATGTAGGAGTAGTAGTAAAAAACCTCCAACGTTCATATACTCGTATATGTGTGTAAGTATACGTGTATGTACAGGTGTGTATGCATATCTGTATATGTATATATATGTACGTGCATATATTTATGTGTTCATTTATATATATATATATATATATAATGTATGTGTATATTTATGTAAAAATGTAAGTTATTACCCACGCACAAGAATTTATTCTTCTGTGGGTAAATTCAGTTTATTTACGTATAACTATGTTAGTTTTAGTTATATTTGTATGTTACGTGAATAAACTCATTATTATATTATATTATTATAGCCCTACAACTAATCATCAGAGCGTATGTTGTATCAATCTTCTTCTTTTGTACGGGACCCTGCATACATAATATATATTATACTGCTTTGCCGTAAAGACAATAAAATGTGGGACATTCAGATTAAAAAAAAATTACAGATCTTTCCTTTTTTTGAAATAAAATGTTCCATATTTCACTATGTTCTTGAATAAATCCTTTCAAGAGAACAAAATTGATAAAATGATGATGTTTTAGTGACTGTGGTCGTTGAGTTATATGCCACTCAATGTACAAGAACGCTTAACTTTTTCTGCATGCCAGTTTACTATTTTTATGGAGGATGATTTTATGTTCTAGAATCAAAAAGCACTTCAAAGAACTCCAAAATTAGGTATCACACACACGACACCCCATTCCGTTTAAAAAAACATGGTCTCAAATGGAGCCCGGCCACCATCTTGAAATTTTTACCTTTTAATTCAGAATGCTAACTCGACTTTAAAAAATAAGTAAAGGAGACCTTTCTGAAAAACGCTGTATGTATGTGCTTTATAGCATTTGGAATAAAAGTTGTTCCGTTTTTCGTTTTTCACCTATGATGAATCGCAGGGTTCCCAGGAATTTGGGATAGTATCAAGGAAATGGTCGTTAAAATCATCAGAGACTTACAAAATAACTAATATACAATTTCATTTACAATGTAGCTATTATTCTAATTATCAACTCAGCTTTTTAACATAAGGCGTAATAATGACCAATTTTCTTCTGTCGCTTTCACCTGAAGACAAAATAAGTAGTTGAAAGGTACTTTGTAACATAAAAACTACATGAATAAGTTTAGATTGAAATATAGCGAACGTCAGTATGTCGGTTTTCTGGACGAACAGGTAGGTATCAATGTGCCTCAGGTAGCTTCTAAATGCTAAGCGTTGGAAAAAAAAGTTAGTTAAGGATTTTTTTTAGTGCTGCGTGATTGAAGAGCAATTTTCAGATACCCTTACTATAAATGCTTCATACTTGTAAAGCTGACTTACTTCTTTCCTTAATTTATGTTTGCCATACTTTTAATAAAATGCCTAACTCGATATTCTGTTCTGCGAAGAGTGTTCACCGTGCATTTCTAATAATAAATTCAGCGCATTCCTTCCGTGGTGTGAATAGATTTTACTTTTGTTGTTGTCGTGCGTTGCTTGATGAATATAGTATTGCAAGTAAAAGTGTCTGGCTATAGAATCCAAATGCTGATTTAAGAAATTTGTACATACAACTTTTACCGATTTATATGCTAGACAGAACCTGCTGTCATAAATCTGGAAAAAAATGTAAGCACATCATACGCCACCATGGTGACAGAATAATGCAATATTAACAACTTATATTGTAGTTTTCATTCTGAAAAATCTCCATGTTTGGCAGCCGCTAAATTAAACCACATATGTAGGATTAACTTATTCCTGACATCGAAGACAAACATGACGATGACGATATATTTTATTCATCTCTCCTCCAGGTGACACTTCATTTCTTTTAGCCGCTATTATACAGTGTGTTGTAACAACTGGTCCTGGGATAGGCATTTATCCTGTTGTTTTGACAGACACGTCATCCTCGCAGATGCAGCATTAGTAGTCGAAGACTGCATAACTACATTACAGGCATGTTGCGACAACAGTTCTGGGTGAGTTTTCGTATTTGTTATCGCTTGGCGTTTTCGATACAATAAGCGGGGATGACGCGTCTGGTATGTACATCTAAAGCAACCCCTCTATGCTCGCTCGTCGGGCCATTTTCAATTTGTATTGATGGCTTCACGCCATCTCGGCATAGTACAGGATCGTTGAGGCTGTTGATGCAAAAACAAACGAATTGTTGCCTGGAAGACAGAAAAATAAAAATATATTATCATCGTCGTTTTTTATTTGTACT